GAATTCAACACTAAACAAGATATAAAAGTGAGTAAACCGAGTGTAAAACAAACATTTTGACACTCAAAAACAGTGATTCTCTCCAGCTGAATGCTAACTTAAAAACAAATTCTGACAGTACCTGAGAACTCAAAAAATTACTTGTGCTGTTTGTTCAAACTACTTACTGTACATAAATGAGTTAAAACAAAAATTTGATTTATGTTCAATCCACTTAAATTTGTAAAAAAATAAAAACAATTAAGTTAACTTAAAGGTGACATGGTGGCTCAGTGAGTAGCGCTGTTGCCTCACAGCAAGAAGGTCGCTAGTTTGAGCCACAGCTGGGTTAATTGGCATTTCTGAGTGGAGTTTGCATGTTCTCACCGTGTTTGCGTGGGTTTCCTCCAGATGCTCCAGTTTTCACACAGTCTAAAAACATGCAGTATAGGTGAACTGAATAAGCTAAATTGGTTGTAGTGTATGTGTGTGAATGAGAGTGTATGGGTGTTTCCCAGTGCTGGGTTACGGCTGGAAGGGCATCTGCTACATAATAACACATGCTGGATAAGTTGGTGGTTCATTCCGCTGTGGCGACTCCTGAATAACAAAGGGACTAAGCCAAAAAGAAAATGAATGAATGACTAAAGTTAACTTAATCGATTTGTGTTGGGACAACATGAAGAAATTGTGAGGAACCCAGTATTTTTACAGTAAATGCAAAATGTTTAACATGACTACAAAATCGCAAATATGTACTGTAATTGCATAACTATATAGCCTCATGCAGGTATTTGTGTTTATTTACATGTGGGCAGCTCATAACAACATTTTCAGTCCATATGCATTTTAAAAGCTTCCCTTTTGTAAAAAAAAACAAAAACAAATATATATATATATATATATATATATATATATATATATATATATATATATATATATATATATATATATATATATATACATATAAACTTATATCACATAAACCACTTTCATTTTCAAGGCAACTGAAAAAGACAATTTTTTAAATATCCAAAAGGGGTATAAAGCAAATTAAATCACATTTTGCTTCTGAAAGCTTACTTCTGAAAGGCACTAGCCTATTTAATTAAATATTAATTGCAAGGGTAAAATACCCTTTAATACAAGGGAATTTCAAAGGCTGTTTTTATCTAAAGGAGTGTGTCTTATCTAAATAATGTGTTTCATGTTCCTTGATCTGATCTAAACCTGCTGTTCATAAAAAGGAGCTAATGAGATAACAGCGCCTCTGTTACACGCTCAGCCAACGGGCAAAGCTCACAAATCCAGCTGTGCCACCTCAGATGACCAACAATGATGCACAAAACACCCGTCAACTTTGTTATGCTATTTATGATCATCAGTCCACTGACTAATAAATAAAAGACAGATATTAAACAATGTGCTGGTCCTGACCTCGTAACCTCGAAGAACTCCATTAATGTTGAGGTGTTGAATGGGCTCCCAGGACACTTGAATCTCAAATGCAGTCAAAGCAGTGGCATTAATCCGTCGAGGAGAAACTGTAGGTTCTAAAGGAAGAGCAGAAATCAAAAGAAATCAGTTACGAATGGATGAGGGATTGCACTGATAACAGCATATTTGCTAATCGTTTAATCTTTTTATTTAATCTCATAAGACTGGTAACTTTTTTATATCAAATAAAAAGCTTGTCTTTGACAGCTCTGACGCCCTCTTCACATGCAGATTACACGAGTTGCGTGGTTGATATTGGCTATAATAAAGTTTGCATCAACTCTTTATTCATTAACAAACACAGTATTATGTTCTGACACATGCTGCACAATATAACAAGTGCTTTTGGTTGCTAATTCTGTAATCTTTGTAATTCAACAGTAAATAGGCTCCTTGAATATTTAAATGTGGGTTGGTTCGAGAATTAAATATCTAAGCCTCGATAGAGATAAAACTTCTTTGGAAGACAAATTAGTATATTTTTTAAATCAAATCTATTTAATCATAAGTGATTTATGCCTGTCCATTAAACATATTTTTATACAAAAATTTCTAATACTTAATAACAACAGATCAACAACAACCATTTTAAAATTTCAACAGATTTAATCTAGTCGTTTAATCGCATATTGCCCTTATTCTTCAATGCGTAAGTGTGCTTGTTTTTGCGATTGTTTTACAACTTCCAATTCAGTTGCCTATGGAAGAAATGACTAGGAATAATAAACGGCAAAAAACGATTTACTTGCTCTACAAACAAGTGTGTCCATGACTATACAACCGAAGCAGAATTATATAACAAGAAAATATCAATTGGCATCATCAACAGTATAACAAGCTGTTTTTAATGTCTAATAATGAATGGAAGTGAATAAGACCAGAAGTCTCGAGCCAAAGACATTCAAATGGCTGCGCCCACTCGTACACAAAGAATAAGGTCAAGAAATCAGCGAACAGGATTGGTCACTGAAGCTCAAATATGCTTGCTTGATGCTCGAGAACCATTGAGGTTTATTCTTGCATCACATGGTGTGTATGAGCTTCTGCAAGAACCAATTAAGTTTGTTTGGGTTCAGGTTTTTTTATGTTTTACAACCAGTCTAGATATTGTGTCTCTTCAGAAGACTTGGATTAAATCCCTTGATTTGTATGGATTATTTAAAAATATGATGGCTAGCATTCAGATTTGATTATATCATTGCAATACACTTTCTTTATTCACAAAAAAAGATACATACTTTACTTAAATTCAATAAAAAAGTCAACATTTACAATACAGACAGTAAAGATATTAAATTTAATATATTTATTATAGATTTTATCTATATTAATAGATATTAGAATTATATTCAAATATAAATATATAATAGAAAATAACAATTATTAAAACTGTTTTAATTATTTAAAAAATAGTTGCTTGATTCATGCATTTTTGGTCAACATAATTTCAATGGAAATACAGAAATCTCTCAATTTAAATGAAAACAATTTCATTAACATTTCATTTAAATCAAAATTTGTGTGCGTGTTTTTTTTTTAAATGATCTAGTTAATGTAAATTAACCAGTCAATTGATAGACCTTTATGGCATTTCATAGTATAAAAGAAATAACATCATTTAAATAAATGTGATAATTTTGCTTTCTTGAAACAATTTAAGCTTTTAATTAGGTAATCTCCTATGTCTGCCCTTTAGGGGTTAAGTAACATTCAATCAGAATATAATAAATTCTATAATTATATCCATAAAAATAAAATCCTCAGTAATAACCCTCACCCTCCTCCGCAGAGTGTACTACAGCAATCTGGCTGAAGGGCCCTTCTCCTTTCTTGTTGTAGGCCTTGATTCGGACCTCGAACGGGCAGTATGCTGTCAGACTGTCATTGCTGTACACATATCGAGATGACTCCACATTTGGCACCTTCACCACCGTCCATGTTGGTATGCCTTGCTTTCTGAATGCCAGGATATAACCAAAACTGTCTCCATTCTGATACTCTCTGGCCATGGGCTGTGATGCATACCAGCAGAAATGTTAATTTCTTTGTTGAGGGTAATAAAGACACATCTATTGACCTTCTGTTTGCAATTCTACACATCTTTTTCCCAAATGTGAATACTGTGTTTCAAATTACTGGTTGCACTTCCAGGTTGAGGAACGTATATTTAAATGAATTAAAACAAATCATTTGAAACATTAAGTTTGTGCAAAAAATAATCAATATACTCTGATAAATATAAAGCACGAAGTCTAATCTTACAGTCATGAAAACAATATTACGCTTGCTATTTGAATGTGACATTAATGTAACAAACTTATCTGTGGACAAAGCTGTTTTGAGTTCACTGTATTTGTTTCTCTGGATTATTTTCTCTTTGTATTCCCTACAGTACAGCAAGGGTATTTTAGTCAATAAAAACTAAAACTAAGACTATATATATATATATATATATATATATATATATATATATATATATATATATATATATATATATATATATATATATATATATATATATATATTTTTTTTTTTTAAATTAACAAAATTAATAATAATTTAAAAAAAATAATAATTTATTATTTTAGAAATAATAAGCAGACCTGCATCTGTTTTATGGCACTTTTACAGCTAAACACCAGTCAGGTGAATGATTACTAAAACTAAAACTGAAACTAAATATATAAATATAAATAGGGATGTGTTTACAAAATAAAAGCTAACCTAAAACTAACAAAACCATTAATGAAGCAAACAAAAACGAAACTGAGATTTACAGCAAATTTAACAACAGTATTGAAATAAAAACATTTATTTAAAAAAGCAAACGATAATGACCTTGCGGTGCAGTGATTTTCAATAAACAACTGTAATATTTTTGCAGAAAGACTTTTTTTTCAGGTTTGAAAGCAATTTGTTCATTCTAATAAGTTTAATAATCAATGGAAGGACTTTGAGGGGAAAAATGACAGCTCATTGAAACCAGTTGTTTAAAACATTGTTGAAACTATAATTCATGCTAGGCATCATGGGGCACAAGGAAAAATGTGTAAATACTGGACAGAGTAAAAAGTATTAAGCATTTCTAACATCAAATTACACAAATAGAACTTACAGTCCATGTAATAATAAGTTCATTACGGTTTCCTCCACCTCCACCGAGTCCACTGGGAGCCACAGTTGGTGCTGTAACACAAAATATTACCCTTCTATCAATCAAGTTTGTTATTGTTTGGAACCACAATAATAGTTTATCATCGGTTTGTTTGGATTTTTATTTAGCACTAATAAAAGTGTAACGGTCCTGACCTGCTTCTTTGGTTTGTGCACGCGGGGAAGGCATGCTTGGTTCTCCGCTGCCCAAGATGTTGCTGGCAATGACCTGGAACTCATAATCCATCCAGGGCCGAAGATCTATCACACGTGCAGATTCAGCATTTCCTTCTATGTTTGCAGGGTCTGGAGGAAGCATTAGCACAAAATGAAAGGTATGCATTCGATTACTAAGGGTAACATTATATATGATGTCATAATACTACTATATTTTTCAAACAAGTGTCCTGGGCAGCTTTTCTTTAGGCAGTTTATGGGGTAAAGTAAGCAAGCAAATACATGTATGCATGTAATTGTATGATTAGTTCAATCATTCAGAAAAGTGGCTGTAACAGTGAATAAATGAAAAATAGACTAGAAAAATATAAAGATACCAAAACAAAAGAGAATAAAAAAAGAATTAATAAAATATATCTTAATATATTATTACCATATTAAAATAGAAAGAAATATAAAATAATAATAATACTATTATATTATACTATATTATATTATAATAATATTATATTATACATTAAATACATTAATTATAATACATTTAACATATTTCAAAATTAAAAATGCATATATTTAACAAAAACAATGCAATAGATATTGTTGGTATTAAAATACAATTCAATAATCAAACATTACACTTTGTTTACATTACATTAATTAAAAATCATAAATTATAGAAATTTACATAAAACACCTTAAGTATTAAATTGTAATCTATTAATTTTGCAAATTAAATAAAAACTGTTAAAACCAGAAACCATAATTTTTCGCTTAATTCTATATAGAAATGTAATTCTACATAGAAATACGGTGTCACTATTTCAGAGTAACCTCACCTGTCCTCATCCTCTTCCAGTCATGAGTCTGTGACGAGCGGCCCAAGATGACATACTTGCCAATGGGACTGTGGTTATCATACCCACGGCTCCATCTCAACTCAACCGATGTGTCGTTCACACTAGTCACCACTAAACCTCCAGGAGGGCCTGGTGGGCCTGTGGAGAAAAACATTGAGAAGCAATTTTGTCATTCATTAATTATTGATATCTAATCTAATTAACTAAACAAATACTTTAGTGTATGGGTATATATAAAATGTTTTTTCTTTTGGGGAAAGTCTTATTTGTTTTATTTCGCTTAGAACAAAAGCAGTTTTTAATTTTTAAACACCATTTTAAGGACAAAATTATTTGCCCCTTTTGGCTAATTTTTTTTCGATAGACTACAGAACAAAACATCGATATACAATAACTTGCCTAATTACCCTAACCTGCCTGGTTAATCTAATTAACCTAGTTAAGCCTTTTAATGTCACTTTAAGCTGTATAGAAGAGTCTTGAAAAATATCGGGTAAAATATTATTTACTGTCATCATTCATTCATTTTCTTGTCGACTTATTCCCTTTATTAATCCGGGGTCGCCACAGCGGAATGAACCGCCAACTTATCTAGCAGATTTTTACGCAGCGGATGCCCTTTCAGCCGCAACCCATCTCTGAGAAACATCCACACACACTCATTCACACTCATACACTACGGACAATTTAGCCTACCCAATTCACCTGTACCACATTAAGACCTGGAGGAAACCCACGCAAACGCAAGGAGAACATGCAAACTCCACACACAGAAACGCCAACTGAGCTAAGGATCGAATCAACGACCCAGCAACCTTCTTTCTGTGAGGCGACAGCACTACCCACTGCGCCACTGCGTCACCTTTACTGTCATCATGATAAAGATACAATAAATCAGTTATTAGAAATCAGTTATTAAAACTATTACGTTTAGAAATTTGTTGAAAAAATGTCTATTAAACAGAAACGGGGGAAAAAATAAGCAGGGGTGCTAATAATTCAGGGGGGCTAATAATTCTGACTTCAACTGTATATACAGAAAATATGTGATGAAAAATGATCTGTTCATGCAAATACAAATGTAGAGGGGTGCCAATAATTGTGTAACATGTTTCTATATAAAACCGGGCTGCTTTTGGTTATTCTTAATGGGAGGAGAGTTTTTTTTTCATATTTTGAGCAATTAATTAATAGTTTAAATGATCAAGACAGATCAGCTGTCTTTGCTCATATTTACCAGGGGTGCCAATATTAGTAAAGTGTAAACATTGTTTACCCTGAAGAAATGGATCAGCAAAATTGAGATTTTTCATGACTCTATGTTACAGGGCCGAGTGCCGAGAGTTGCTTGGCCAAAGAATGATCAAGCTGAACAGACTGCGGCCTGGTGAAGCAAGGTTTAATAAGGTCTCTGTCGTGTTTTGGCCAGCTGGAAACCCTCACCTCTCACCACCAGCTTGGCCGAGGCCATGGCGCTGTCCACCACCGTCTGGGCTGTACAGGTGTATGTGCCAGCATGACTGAGCTGTCCATTTACTATCACCAGGTCACCGATCGTCTCTTTCTGTGCAGAGAAAAGACAAGTAAAGTCTATTTGGAAAGAGTACTTGCCCACTTTAGCTTCATAAGAGCATTTATCTCATGCTTTTTTTAATCTGTAGAGGCTGAATTTGAATTTGTGAAATGGACTGTATATATAATATCGTGTCTGAAAGGGATTTACTTTGAAGTGAATCCTATTAAAGCTAATCTCAGAGAGTGAGAGGAGACTGCTTATATTGGAATAAGAATTCAGCTGGTTTGACTAAGCTGGCTAATTTTAAACATTAAGAACATAACTATGTTCACATTTACTGAAGTAAGTGAGTGTATTGTAGTTGGTTATCAGGGAATAGCTGTGTTTTTAGCATTGCTCACTTTCATATTCACAGTCTGGAACGATACATTTTGAAAAAAGAATGCAGTACAACAATCAAACTGCACAGACTACAGTTCAAAATATTTTAATAAGAAAGATTTTTCAAAATAGATTAATAATTTTATTTAGCACATAAACAATAAACTGATCAAAAGTGAAAGACAGTAGACATATTCTTTTACATTTTCAGTGAGACCAGCAGGGGGCACTCAACCTGCAGTCTGTATGGATCCTAATGCCCCAGTATATTGATGGGAACTCTATACTGTTCAGTGAGCACAGTCTTTTGGACATTAAACAGAGGTCCTGACTCTCTTTGGTCATTAAAAATCCCATGATGTTCTCAGAAAAAGAATAGGGGTTTAACCTTGACATCCTGGCCAAATTTGCCAACTGGCCTCTGTCCATCATCGTCTTCTAACCATCCCCAAATCATAATTGGCTTCATCAGTCTTTCTCATCAGCTGGTGTGTGGTGTGCGGTCTGGCGCAATATGGCTGCCGTTGCATATATAAATGTAAGTATTTATTATTATTATTATTATTATTATTATTTGTTCATCGAAGAATATGCACATTAATATTATGGTTTGCACAATGCACATGTTTTTTTCTTTTATTGTAGTAATTTTTTTCCCAATATTACCACTTGAACTGTATTTGTAAGTAAATAAATGTAGATTTGGTGACCACAAGAATGGGATAAACATTATGATTATTAAATCATTGTCAGCTGATATTAAACTAATAACACATTGAACACATACTACAATCACACTAAATAAACATTATTTGAGTCTGAATGTAATAGTAATCATAATAAAAATACTGCTTAAATGATATGTTTAAATATAAGTCTAAATAAAAAACATCTGCAACAAATTGACCTGTATGAACATGGAAAAAACATGACATGCTGAATCAGAAATATTATGTCATTTTAATTTGATGGTGAAAAATGACACTATAGAGGGGTTCAATAAGCCTTTTAAACTTCTTTTGTATCTATTCTTCAGGACAACACCTGGAGAAATGACAAGAAGTGCTCACCCCCTCCATTCGCCGATAGTGTCCATTTGGTTCCTCTAGGTCCAGCGGAACTCCGTTGAGTGACCAGGTGAAGGTGAGGTCCATGGTAGGGTCATGTGATGCATGGCACTGCAAAGTGGCATTTTCACCCTGATTGATATCAGCATTAGAGGGCGCTAGTGTGATTTTTGTGGCATCTGTTTGAATGAACAAAATTAAAAACAATGTGTATCATCAATGACTTGCTGATGACTACTTAAAATGATAATTTTAGAGGTCTTAATTTGTTTACATGCAGACTCTTTCATGATTACTTGACTCTTTTTTTATAAACATGTTCTTATCACATGCAGCACAAGAAGATACAATCAAAATGTGATGGAATATGAGATGTAAGTTTTCCAGTGTTACAGTACTTTTCTTCAGTTTGTAAATATTTATTTATCTTGACAACCAACATAACAAATTAAATTCTCAACTGTTAGATATACAAATGATTTGTTTTCAAAATCACTGTGGGGAAATCAAACTGATAAATTAATAAAATATATCAAACAGGTTTTACTTATTGGTTTGCATGTAATCTAGCACAACATGTTATTTAAGTGAGGTGATCTTGTGAGTTATCAGTGTATTAGAGTCCATGTAATCGAGTAAAAAAAAAAAACTCTAACTTGATATCAAGACAAAATAGAAGATATGTAGCAATTCATATGCCATCAGATAGCTGATAAAGGTGTTTACATGAAAGCAAACTAAGTTGAAAAACCAAGGTGTGTCTAGAAGATACAAATTTTGCTTAACCATTAATAACCTCTCCCTATAAAAAACAGTTTATGTGCCATTTTTTTCCCAAAGTGTAAAATAAAATTATTCTGTTCATCAGGGCAACATTTATCAAATGTATTTTTTTTACATTGTTAAATACTCATTTATTAAATACTTATTTATTACTTATTGTATGTAGTTTCAAATAAAATGATTATTCCAGTCATTATTGCTTTTATTACTATACCATTAATAATAATAATATAAATAATAATAATAATAATAATAATAATAATAATTATTATTATTATTATTATTATTATTATTATTATTATTATTATTATAATTCTTCATATTAGAGTGATTTCTGAAGGATCATGTGACTCTGAAGTATGGAGTAATGAAGCTGAAAATCCATTATTTAAATCACTGGAATAAATGATTAAATGAAATTACTTTTAAAACAGTTATTTTAAAGTGCAATAACATTTAGCAATTTTTCAATTTGTAATATGTTTATGATTAAATAAATGCCTATTTTAAAAAATGTAAAAATCAAACTGACCTTTAAACTTCTGACTGGTAGTGTATATTTTTACCAGAATATTTAGAAACAACAAATAAAATCATGTCAAGCTTATTTTCTAATAATAAGTTGCAAACACAATAATTAACTTTATTTAAGATCATAGTGCAGTTAAAAAAATAATTAATTATCATTTTTCAATCTACTATCATTAAAACCACTAGATTTGAAAATGTAAAAACAATTTGCCAAATTAATTGTTTTATAATTTAAATGATCTGAATGACACTAGCATACATTTTAATAAGTACAGGTCAGGTCAATAAATACAAGAAAGAAAGTTATACTGGGAGCGTTGTTACATTTTTATATAAATTTGTTATAATAAGGCCTCAAGGTGGCGCAGTGGGTAGCACGATCGCCTCACAGCAAGAAGGTGGCTGGTTCGAGCCTTGGCTGGGTCAGTTGGCATTTCTGTGTGGAGTTTGAATTTTCTCCCCATGTTTGCATGGGTTTCCTCCGGGTGCTCCCGTTTCCCCCACAGTCTAAAGACATGCGGTACAGGTGAATTGGGTAAGCTAAGTTGGCCATAGTGCATGTGTGTGAATGAATGTGAAAAAAAAAATTTAATTAAAAAAATAAGATTTTATTACCTCTGACAGACAGGTGTCCAGTGCTGTTGGCTTTGCCAAGGTAATTTTCTGCAAAGCAGGTGTACTTTCCTTCATCAGCACGACTGATATTGTAGATCCACAAAATCCCATCCGGAGTCACGGTTATCCTGAAGAGAGTTCATACACACCATACTGCTACTAAAATCATCTACAGCTCCCCTCTATCTGATCGATCAAGACATCTGGAGGCCTTTAAAACACTTGATTACTGTATTACCTTGTACTATTAGTCAGTAACTCTGTGCCGCGGCTCCAGAAGAGAGTGGGTTTGGGAGCTGCCCGAGGTTTACACTCCATTTTGACCTGTCCACCACGGGCAGCAGGAACCAGCTTCCGTACTGGATTCAGCCTGAAGTCTGGAGCCTGGACTGAAAGAGGGTGACAGGACGGGGCAGGACGGGAAATGGGTAACCACACAAAGAGGATTTAACCACTGATTATACTATAACTGGGGTTCAGGCATGGCTGGGTTGGCAGAAAGGGGTTTAAAGTGTATTAACATACACAACAAGACACAGTCAGTGTTTATGCAACTATATTTTCCGATGTGTTTTCATGCTGAGATTGTCTTGCGCTCACCTTGAACTCTGAGCTCAGCGTTCGAGTAAATGGTGCTGTGTTTGTTTTCAGCCACACACTGATACATCCCAGAATCCTCCAGGGCAAGATTAGCGATTTTCAGCCGGCCGTTATTCACTTCAACACGATCCTGCATATATATGATGAAGATGCACATGAGCACCAGCAGAGGGCCACACAACATTTCTCCAGTCAATCTAGCTCCAGCTGAGGAAAGGCATATATCACTGCCTCGGAGACATAAAGAGTTTTTTAAGCATTTTGTTAGCATATATCAGTCTGAGTCTTGACAGCTAGAGGTCCTGTTCATTTCTGATAACACACACATTGTCAGATAACAATCCGGCTGCGGTCTTCTGTGTGTATGTATATGTGTGCGTGTGTATGGCAGGCCTGTGTGATAAGATGAGGAGCTGTCTGTTATGGAGCCAGCAAGTGTGAGAGTGTGTATATGTACAGTATGTGTGGGCAAGTGTGTGTATGGCAGACCTATTTTATGAGATGAGAAAATAACTGTCAGTGAAAGTGAGTGTGTGTGCGTATGAGTTTGTTTTTGTGTGTCAGACCTGTATGTTGGGACTTGAGAGGTTGTCTGCCTGTTATGAGGAAAGCGAAAGTTAGTGTGTGCGTGTAATCATTTGTCTTTGTGTGGCAGACCAGTGTGAAGCAAGAGAGTGTGTGTAAGCATGTTTGTTTTTGTGTGGCAAACCTGTGTGATGACAGCCTGTCAGTTACTAAGCCAGCAAATGTAAGAGAGAGTGTATGTGTGTCTGTGTGTGAGTTTGAGTGTGTAAGCATGTGTTTTTGTGTGGCAGACCTGTGTAATGAGGGCGTGTCCGTTACGGAGCCAGCGAATGGTGGGTCTGGGTTTGCCCGCTGCAGCACAGCTCCACTGCAGCTCTGAACTGATTTCCACCTCAGAGTCACTCATGACCTGAAGCCAGTCCGGCTGAGCTGAGGAAGCAGAACACAAACATCCACTTTTTACCAAAAGAAGTGTTCACAAATCAGCTTGTACATCAGAATTGCTTTAGTGTTACTGTTTTTTTTTTTTTAATCTTTTTTATTTTATATTCGCAATTGATAAGTTTGTTTTCATTAAAAATGTTTCTTTGTGTTTCATTGTAGATACTACTGATAATGTGTCTTCGAAATGTGTGAATGAATGGAAATATGCACTGTGAAACATCCATTAATTAACACATTCTTGTAGTTTGTGGTACATTCATATTTTTCATGTATTTACACTTTTGAGTTGCATTATGGGACCTTGGTCTCTTCCAGGAGGCACAGGACGTCAACATGACGTCAGACTGACGTTGTACCCTAACATTGGAGGATGTTGCATTTTTCTTGGAAATGAAAATTGGGCATCAGAACTCAATGTCAGGTTAACGTCAATGTCCGACATCCAACTTAAAATCCACCAAATATTAACATCTAATGATGCTACAGCTTGACATTGTGAACGTTACCACTATAACGTCTTTCAGACGTTGGATTTCGGTTGCCATACCTGATGAATAAATGTCAGCATTTGACATCAATTTTGACATTGACATTGGTTTAAGATGTTGACTCAATGTTGGGTTTTGGTCACTTTCAAACAACCTTAAAATCAACCAAACATCAACGTCATTTGATGTCCTTATTGGATGTCAAAATAATGTTGCCCTTATACACTAGCTAGCCTAATATTAACATCTTATGACGTTGTGTGCCTGCTGGGCTGCTCCTAGATTTTCTGATGTTGAAAAACATAACGGTGTGACTTTTACTGATATTTTCAGTGTAAAACAATACACTGTCTAAGTTGGTGATGTCAACAGCGTTGCCAAATATAGCACACTTTTTTCAGCCCAAAAGCTGTTTAAAACCCACCCAAACGCACAAAAAACACCCCAAAATATTAGAATACTATTTTATTAATTTTTTTATTCATTTAAATCTAAATTAACCTATTTACTTTAACTTTCAGAAAATTTAACCATACAACAGCCAACACCAGCAGTCACAGGACCACAACATCGAATCACTGCACACTCTCAACCACACACACTTATTATTGTGTAGATTACACTACCTATTTGAGTATCTTTTACTTTCAAAATGGGATATAAATTCGTCCCATATGGCGTTTTAAATTCATTTAAACCCAATTAGGTGTTGGATTTATTTATATTGATTTCTTATAATAAATATATTTTCAAATTAATAGCATTGTTGACCCTAACTTCTATACCTTCACTCCCCCTCAACATACCAATAATAACATATGGCCATTCTTTTATATACAAGTACACAATAGACACAAATGAAAATCACATTTTTTTTAAGAATTATTTTTGGCCTTTTAAACTTTATTAGATTTGACAGTATTGAGACAGTAAGCGAAGTTGGAGAGAGAGAGGGGGGTAGGGTAGGGAAATTTCCTCGAGCAGGGTTTCGAACTCGGGACACCCTGACGTGCTACTGCACCATATGTCAGCGCGCTAACCACTAAGCTATTGCGCTGACCACATTTTAGTTTTGTCTACAACAACAACACACTTGCTCGCAAAGTTTATATTGCATCAAGCTTCGACTTAATGTTCATTCATTCATTCATTCATTTTCCTTTGGCTTATCCCTTAATTAATTTGGGGGTGCCACAGAGGAATGAACCATCAACTTATCTCGCATATGTTTTATGCAACGGATGCCCTTCCAGCCACAACCCAGTACTGGGAAACATCATTAGACACTCATTCACACACATACACTATGGACACTTTAGTGTATTCAATTTACCTATAGCGCATGCCTTTGGAAACCAGAGCACCTGGAGGAAATGAAATGCCAGCTGACCCAGTCGGGGCTTGAACCTTCTTGCTGTGAGGTGACAGTGCTAACCCCTGAGCCACCGTGTTGCCCTACTTAATGTTCATGAGAAAAATATTTATATTTCTGTCTATTTCTAATACTATGCCTACCTTGCACAGAAACACGTCCCTGATGCGTCTCACGGCCTTCTGAGTTGTAAACCTCACACTCATACATGCCCTCGTCATCGAAATTCAGTTCAGGAATAATCAAGATGGGCCCATCCACACTTGTTCCAACCTTAGGGGGTAAAATTCCATCCACCTTCCTCCAGCGGATTTTAGGAATCGGACTAAAGGAGGAAAAGTAAAAGTGAGAGCATGATGGAAAAAATGGTTACATTTTTATAGCTGACTGCGATATGGATTATGTTAAAGCGATGCTGCAGTGATCTCTAGGAGTTAAGGGGGACTTACTTGCCATAGGCAAAGCATTCCAGCTGTGCGGTTTGCCCTGATAAAGCGTATGTCTCAGCGGGAAAACGCACTCGGATATTTGGAGCAGTTTTCCTTGGGCTTGCTGAAGAAACACAGCAAAAAAAAAAAAAATAAGATTCAGTTTTTGAGCTTGTTGCTGAAGGAAATATAAGGCTTTGAACTAACCATCAGGGTGAACTGTGAGCTGGACAGCTTTGCTGAAGATGCTCTTGGTGCTGACATCCATGTTGATGGTGGTGAAGCAGAAATAGTTGCCCGTGTCATTGGCTCTCGCGTTAGCAAGATACAAGTTACCAGTGACCTGAGAAACAAACCACCTGCCCGCTTCTGGCTGGATGAAGTTAGGGAACTCGTTGATAAACCAGCGGTAGGACAAAGCTAACAAACAGAAGGGATGCAAGAGTTAACGAAATAAAAAAAGAGTGAAATGTTTTGCTAACTGATATGTGTGTGTGTTTACCTGGGTAATGAGCTGGTGGCTGGCAGGCAAGAAATGTTCCCATTCCTTCATGGACCGTCTGAGGACTTCTGCTCTCAGGGGGAAAATCATGCAGGTCTGGAAGAAAGCACAGTATAAATCAAGCACGAGTAGTAGACAAGACCCAGTTTTCTACTTGGACAATGGTTACTCACAGCCGAACTTGAGATTAGCGACGCGGCTAACAATGGTGCCGCATCGGTTGATTGCGAGACACTGGTACGAGCCGCCATCTCGCCCATTCTGAGGGTTGTTGATCACAAGGTTTCCTGCAACCTGTGTGTAGTGCGACTCTTCAGCAAATGATATGTCAGTGCCATTCACACGCCACCTGGGAGGAAATCACACACAAGATCTGACTTTATTACCAGAGTAAAGGAAAGTCAATAACCAATTTGCCATATATATAGTATATTTTTATTGATTTTATTGAAATATCAATAATCTACTTAAAAACTGCTCTCATCAAATACATTGTATCTTCAAGTTTTCTTTGTCAAAATTACATATAAAACTGGATCTCAATTATATAATATATATAAAAAAACAGTATGATAAAAAACTTTGGAAATCACTTTGGAAATCAGAAGTACTAAATAGCAAAAAAATTCCATGTTCCATAAACAAATTAAGCAGCACAGCTTTTTTAATCATTAATAATAATTAGGGGTGTTAATGGATCACAGTTGATCTGTGATTCGTACAGATCGGAACACACGTGGCCCGCAGATTAATAACCTTTTTACCAGAAGATTAATCCTAAATTTGTAATGATCACAGAGAGATCGCCTCTAGGTTCATTCAGTTCACATGTATGAAAGCATTTAGGCTTTCCTGTAAAAAATAATGAAAAAGGGAAGAAGTTGTGGTAGGTTATTCGGAATATGATGGGTTTCTTAGGTTATTAAAGGTGTTTTCTGTCTCTACTTGTTTAGCCTGCATTAATGCATTCAGTGTAAGATGCACAATTAATCCTTAAAAGTTCAGGATCTCAACACCCACACAACATAAATTATAAATGAAGATGATTTGCATAAGTTTACTAATCCTTCAAATCACTGCATTCAAATCTGTGTTTGAAAAATGCAAAGATTAAGAAAGAAATTCAGTCTTTAGTCATTTGAGCTAGTTATGAAGTTACAAACAGTCAAATAAACACAGAAGCACTTGGATTACCGTTAGGCAGTGCTGTTGCCTCACAGCAAGAAGGTTGCTGGGTTGCTGGTTCGATCATGACATGCGGTACAGGTGAACTAGGTAGGCTAAATTGTTCGTAGTGTATGAGTGTGTGTTAATGAGTGTTTATTGATGTTTCCCAGAGATGGGTTGCGTCTGAAAAGGAATCCGTTGCATAAAAATGTGCTGGATAAGTTGGTGGTTCATTCCGCTGTGGCGACCCCAGATTAATAAAGGGACTAAGCCGACAAGAAAATGAATGAATGAATAAAACCACTGATGTTTATGATCACCGTCATATGCATTTAACTTGATGCTCAAAAATGAAAGTTGAAGGCAGCAATTACATTATTTACCCAGCCTTCAAAAAGATGCCACTGAATAATTCTTCAAAAATTATACATCTAGCAATGATTGTACAAATTATAATGTTAGATTATTAAGTTTAGCATTATCAGCAACAGTAGTAGTCATTTTCACAGTACTGAATATTTTTATATTTATTTTACTCAGCTGATTATTTCTTCATTTTATTTTTAATAAAATTACAGGTTCTCAGTTCTGCTTGTTAAAACTAAAAGTTTCTTGCAGGGCTGTTTTTGTAATAAAAGGAAAACAAATTACATTTGTCTCCTCCCTTTTTGGCTGATCCATACTATGGTCCAATCCTTGACTAAAAAAACACTATGTGATCCGAACCATGAGATTTGTTATCTGTTACACCACTAATAATAATAATAATAATAATAATAATAATAATAATAATAACCATATATTTATTTAAATTTGAGAACCAGTTTTCTGAGGGATCATGTGACACAATGTAGACTGTAAAGTTCAGTTTAGCCATCACAAACCAAAACTTTATTTAAAAATGTATTAAAACAGAAATTAACTGAAATTGGATTAATATTTGACATATTTGAATATTTTACTAATTTTGTAAAGCAGCTTTATTAAACAGATACTTCAAACACATAAAATATTTAATTTTAATATGCTATTTAGTAAAATATGTTGGTTTTTGTTTAACTATGAGTCATACAAAGCAAGTAAAGGTCGTGTTTTGTTCGTTCACGTGTAAATGACAAAAATGTGATGTGAGTACCGGTAAACAGCAGCAGGGCTGGAGCGAGCCTGGCAGCTCAGGGTCACCTTGCCTTCTGGCATCCCCTCTGGGTAAATCAGACTAGATGGCTGCTCTTCAAACACCGGCCCACTGTCATGACCCGACACACACACATCCCCACCTACCAAAAAAAAGTAACAAACAATGTCTTTCAGAAAGAGTCTAAACAGGTTAAACACCTAATGAGGTGTACACTTTCACAAAGCATTCACAGTTTAATGCAGTGCACCAAAGCTAATTTTAAATGTTAAAAAGCCATAGAATGAAAATCTGGATATGCCTAGGCATAGCTAAATAATAAGAGTTCAGAACATGGAAATGACAAACTGTGAGCCTCAAATACCATTGTTCCCTTGTTCTCATTTAAATCCTGAGTTTAAAAGCCCAGTGAAACACGTGCCAATTCGAGCAAAACACAGTCTCTGACTTTTTACAAAAAAAAAAATTAAAAATACAATTTAATACAATTAATACAATTACCAGGCAGCGTTTGATTGGCTACAATGTTTCCATCTGAGATGACAACAATGATAATTTCCCCTTATTTTTAAGCTTATATAGCCTTGTATTATACTATACATACTTTGTATGTGGGAATATTATTTTGAAAAGGGGACCGACATTATAGATTTGGAGCATTTTATCTCATCCCTAATCACAGCTCGTTGCGTGTTATAACACTCAACGCTCGTCGCATCCTGTCATAACACTCAACACTTACAGTGATTTTTCTGAAGTTATAAAACAGCAATTTAATAACATTTTTGTACACGTTTACATGGAAGATATGATATTAATTCCTGTCTTAGCTTTCAAACAGTGGGCACTTGCATCTTCTATTTTATTCTCTTAAAATGCAGCATTTTGATTCATTTTCTGCTGTATAAGTTGAGAGCACATTCTTATTGTAACAATAAATAGCATAATATCTTATAATAATTCTTTGGGTCAAGAAATCATCTGAATTTGCTGTATTTTTCTTCCTCTTTGAGTAATACAAGTTTTCTATTTCTGGATACGCTTAAATCTGAAGTAAGAACATGTTCCTGTTATATATTGTGCATGAGCACTTTAATAAACCTACAGAAAGCAGATTAATGACTTTACATGTTGGAAATCATAAATCATAAATTGTTTTAAGCTGTAGTCATTTATGAATTTACTATAATTAAGGAAAATAGATATGCTCATGAAGCACAATCAGGTTAAGCATGGATGTAAACTCACTACTCTTGAGTGTAATCTATATTCAGTCACCTTGTGCAGCTCAGGTCTTTTGTTCTGCCTCTTTTGAAAGCCGGTGTAGTGTGCCAAACAGACAGATACAGGGGGTCGTGTGTGCCTAACATCTCCAGCGTATCTACACTCAGAGAGCAGGGGTGTGTTCTCCACCCGGGGAAAGCCAGCGGGGGATACATGCTGTCAGATATAATTGCATGCACTCAGATATTTTGACAGAACGAGGAAACTAGGGAGTTTGAAAGCATACAGTAAAATCTCCAGGTAGTCCTGCACGCATCTGATGCATTATGAATCGGTTCCAGAATGAGTCCGGATAAATTGGGAAAGCATGTGCATTTGTGTCAGGGAGTGCATCTGTGATCAGAGATTTGTTTTTCTGCCTTCAAAAGTTGCCGTGGGTTTGAGACTTTATTATAATGGAATTGGTGATGGATTTAAGTAGTGCACAAAAACAATCTATATTTTCTAAATATAAGTCTGCATGTGAGGTTTATGATTAGCTCTCTTAAAGTTTAAATATTACCAAGTGTTTTCATGGCATTTTCATGGCTTTTACCCTATTTTTATAAAATAAAATGTAATATACATAATATCAATAATAATGGACATTGTTTGAAATTACACACAATCCACTTCTACAGTATAAATACATTCACAATGGTCACTTTATTAGGTACACCTGTCTAACTGCTCGTTAACCCAAATTTCTAATCAGTCAATTACATGGCAGCAACTCAATGCATTTAGACATGTAGACATGGTCAAGACGATCTGCTGCAGTTCAAACTAAGCATCAGAGTGTGTAAAAAGGGGATTTAAGTGACTTTGAACGTGGCATGGTTGTTGGTGCCAAAAGGGCTGGTCTGAGTAATTCAGAAACTGCTGATCTACTGGGGTGCCACACCGGGTGCCACTTTTGTTAGATTAGAACAGGAAACTGAGGCTACAATTCACACAGGCTCACCAAATTGGACAGTAGAAGATTGGAAAAACACTGACTGGTCTGATGAGTCTCGATTTCTGCTACAACATTTGGATGGTAGGTTCAGAGTTTGATGTCAACAACATGAAAGCATGGATCCATCCTGCACTGTATCAATAGTTCAGGCTGATGGTGATGTTGTAATGGTGTGGGGGATATTTTCTTGGCACACTTTGAGCCCATTGGTACCAATTCAGCATTCTGCCAATGCTACAGCCTACCTGAGCATTGTTGCTGACCATGTCCATCCATTTATGACCACATTGTACATGTCAATATGGACCAAAATTTCTGAGGATTATTTTCAATACCTTGTGGAATCTATGCCCCGAAGGATTAAGGCAGTTCTGAAGACAAAATGGGGTTCAACCCGGTACTAGTAAGGTGTACCTAATAAAGTGGCCGGTTAGTGTAAAGAAAAAGCTGTTTTTAATAACTTAGATTAGACACAAACATTTTACTAAAGTCTTCTATATATACCCACAGTCAAAATATCCTAAACATGAAATGTGCAACATTTAACAAAACTAGTTTATCTCTTAAAAATAATTGGAAAATTCTGAATGATTAAGTAATGTGCATTTTTCCTTTGCAACTATTCTATTAAAAACAATAGAATTTTGAAAATAATAAGTCTGGATCGCTTCCGTGCCCCCAAATGCACATGAGTGTTCAATTTTATCTAAAAAACATTCTTTGAAAACAAGACTGGTCTTATGCATTTTTTAAGAAACATGTCTTGTTTTTCGGTGAAAACATATCCTAAAATAGACCCCAATACAATTGTTTTCAGTTACTATGTTTGTTATTTAGATTTTACTGGGTCTCTACGTGCATAGGCGTATATATATATATTCATGCGTTTGTTCAAAGGAGTGTGTGCGGGCTGTGGAGACCCACAGGAATCTGGGGTAACAAGAGAGAGGCAGAGGAAGCGATGAGTTGAAAAGAGAAACCAGCACCCCGGGAGCTTTTCTGCTCTGAGATTACACTCAAATTCACTGGTGTGTTGCTGCTTCCAGTAATGGGAGAAACAACTCCAAACTGCCACTTAAGTAATTTTCCACCAAAGTCTTTCAACATCTCATCACAGTTTCTATGTTTGCATACTTTTACTGTGTGTCCTAGACTAGAAACTGAAACTGTTTTGTCAGCCAATTCTATTTCAATGCCAGCGATGATACACATGGATATCTTTCTCAGTGCTATACTAGCATTATAATTATCGTGTTTATGTATGTTTTTAAACAATTTATCATCTTTATTCCTATTATACTTATTTAGTATAATTATATATTATACTTTCAATGTTTGGACAATGCTGTTCAAATGTTTAGAGTCAGTTAAAATAGTAAATTTATGAATATAACAATAGTTGTACTATTATTAACAGCATATTTGTCTGTATTTTTAGTATGCTACCAAGAGCTAAAAAACTTCCAGCAATGGTTTTGGAGATATATGACCATAATTGTTATATCTGCTAAAAAAATTATGTCCTGTCCTATCATCAGATCATTGAAAACTATGGAGTATACAATACATTTCACAATAAGTTGGGCAGAATGCTCCTGAATCCTTATTGCTTCAAAGCGAGCCTGACATTGTAACTACTAAGACACAGTCTATCATGCAATGTTTGCAGTATTTCTGAAGAGTAATGTTCAATTAAAATGTGCTTGTTTTGTAGCGAATATCCATAATTCCTTTCACACATGCACTTGTAAACTCAACACATTTGAGGTTAATGCTGTTTTTAGCAGTGCTGGACAAACAAATTAGTACAAAAGCGATTCAGAGCACATATGTGATCTTCTCATACATCATTTCAGTTATATTACTAACAAATTACTGATTTAAACATAGCCTACTGTTTTCTTCAAATAAAGAAGCATGTTTCTAATCCTCTACTTGCTACACCCCTGATTTTAACAGCTCAATTTAAAAGGCACCAAAATGAGGCACTTAAATGTCCCATAAAATTAAAATAAAAAAGGAAATCTATTAACTTATGTGCTCCCAGTGACAAAGTTCACATTTAGAAACTGTAAAATATAAGTATCCAAATCTTGCAGTTTGTTACTTCCACCTAATTCGATCAGCTCATGTCACCTCAAACTTCAATTTTGACCAATCAAATGCTCTCTATTATCTGATATGCCCCGCCCACTTCAAGATGCTTCTCATTTGCTTTTCATTTGATGCACTTGAGCTTAACCACTCTCATTGGCAGAGCTGTGATGAAAAATTTAGACGCTATTGGCTGTTTTAAGTTGGAGGAGTAGGAGGAGCTACTCCACATTTCAAACACTTCAAGGGACCTTTAAATCTGCATTTGGATTTGGTACACATTTATTATATGAGACTGGGTAGAGGGTATTAGTACCCAACCCTACTTTTCATTCATTTCCAATCAACCTGCCTTACTTAGTTCTGTTGAATCACACTAGAGTTCATTTTCCCTCATGGTGTGGTTCGTTTGGGCAGGTGTGAATGTAACAATCGCACTCAAGTGCGCACCAAAAGCAGACCAAAAAAGCCTACCGAGACCTCCTTGAAGAGGTTGTGGTGAGAACATGATCAGAACTAAAACTAAATCCATCTGCCGTAGTCAAATGCGCTGTGCATTATGATATGTGGGGAAAAAATACTTGTTGACAGTGCTTTACCAACAATTTTAAACAGAGAGAGATCATTGTTAATATTTCCGGAAGATGACCATGTCGCAGTTTAGCTAAATTAATTCACGCCTCCTCCTGAAGTGATTTGCGATGCGCCTTTGCAGTTGGCAATGCATTAAAGCATTGTTTTCCAGCCGCAGTCGCGATTCACTCTCAAAATCTACAGTTTGTCTAAACTGATATAGACAAACTATAAAGTATTCTATGAGCAAGGATATAATCAGCCAGCGCAGTCATCCCTTGATAGTAAAAAGCAACATTTTGTGTCTGCTGGTTTGTTTACTTGCAGGAGTTCCATTAGCATTTCCTCGCACATTATAGCTGCGGTCACACTGGGCTTTTCTTCCCATAGACTTCCATTCAAACGCACGCGAATGCGTCAGACTGGAAACGCGGTTTCGCAGGTTGCTCTGGTGCAAAGTTCAAGCTTGGTGAACTCTGACCTATAAAATCTTGTAACTTGACTGCGTGAGACCAATCGAGAATTAAAACATGACCTCCCTGGACAGAAATTTAAAACATGGAGCAATCACTTGCTTTTTAAAATGTCTAATAAGCTTGTTTATCCCGCCCCTTTTCCCAGCACCGCACGACAGAATATCGCATGCTCAAGCTCTAATGTGACCGCAGCTTAATTCTGACCATTTAAAAAGCAGTTTAGGTAAAACGTTCAATAACACCTGGCCAATATGTGATGTGGATTTTGTCACATGACTGCATTTTGGTTCTTTTCAACTGGTTCGGAACAAAGCAATCAGTGTGAAAAGGACTCAAGAACGGCAGAAAAATGCTACGATGTACTATTTGTTGCTTTTGGTCTGGACCAAATGAACCGAACCACAGATGTTAACCACCCTAAATATCATGCCAAGAAACTTGGTTGCTCATTTTGGTCAGATTCCTAGACAGAATTTAGGAAGTGAACCAGATTTTATGCCTTGGAGACTAGGAGTCGGAGTAACTTTGACTGGAGTGCCGTTTGCAAAGTTAATAGCATTATGGACAAACCACATTTTTATCAATGTTTAATGTGGCCTGGATTACTTCAGCCGACAAAAACACCTCTCAAGTAAATCAAATCCCTTCTGCCCACTGATCTAAGATAACACAATGAATAATTCAACTGAATTTGTAGACCCCCACTGATGCACAACCCTGAAAACCACACATCCCAGACACCATCAAAGTGACAACGTATATTTCAATCATGTTTTAACAAGGAAATGCCAGCGCAGAGGGAATACTGGAAGAAAAAAACAACAGGCAATGAAGTTGCGCTAATGGGGGAAGGGCTGAGCGAGACCTGCTAAGTATATTTGCAAATGGGATCTTGAAAGAGATGAGATGACGGGAGACATGAGATCAGATCAGATCAGATCAGACTTACCCAATGCGTTGCTCAGAGCCAGAAAGCTGAGAGACAGCAGACACAACAGAATCCTCATCCTCCAACCACAACCACACCCAGACCAGACACTTATTTTTATCTGCAAAGAAAATGAATATAACTATTTTTAAAAGGCTGAAAATGACATTTCACTCTGAAGATGCTTTTAAATGGCAAAAGTGAATTATGAATGAACATTTTAGGCTTTATTGTAATACAGTAATGAATAAAACAAAGAAAACTGGAGTACACAGTCAACAGAAAAGTACAAGAAAAAAATAATTTTCCGCTTAATTGTAAAGTATGGAATGCAATTATGATTTTATGTTGATTATTTTTAAACAAACAAGGAAATATATTGTAATACAACTGTACTGTTAAAAAAAAGTAATATAATTTTTTGACTTTACCTGCCGAGCTAATGCATATAGTTAAGATGCTACACTGTAAAATGGCCAAAAACTGCTACATTAAATATGTTACCAGGTTAACAGTACGTTTCCTTACTATATACTGTGATCAACTATAAACCGAGTTTCCCACAATTTCCTGCATTTTTACTGTGTACAGTAGAGTTTAATTGTACATTTACTGTGTATAAAAAGTTTATTGCATTATTTTTTTACTAAAATCCTTGCAAACACACCTATTAGACTTTTACCATAGTTTTTAAAGAAATTCTTTTTACAGTGTAGAATTGTTGTCTGTACATGAAACTGTAATTCATTGCAGTGGATAGAACATCTTTTATGATAACGAATGACAAAACCATTGCACTGAATGATGAAACTTTCTGTAATATTAAATTTTCAGCCAATTAAATAAGCTAGTTAAAATGGTTACTTTAGAAGTTATAAACAACAATAAGGCTTGGTCTGAGTATAAGAGCCTTTGAACAGGCAAGCAAGAATATATATATATATATACTCGAATCTGATTGGCTGATAGCCGGGCAATATTCTGCAATTACAGCACTTGTATAGCCTCCTCAACCTTCTGTATTACTCCGCCCACATAGAGTGCCAGCAGATCAATAAACTCACAATAGATTGACAAATATTGCAGCCTTTGTAACAGCAACATAATGAACATTTGAGGCTTTTTTAGGCAAGAATGTAGTTGTTTAGATTACAAATATGCAGTTAATTTTTGCAGTTCAGGACAGTGCCTATTTTAAATATTTATAATTTCGGACATATAGCATGTTGGCATACATCAGCCTGTTATACTGAGCAGAGCAAAAACAGTTGACGTTCCGCCACAAGATGGCAACAGAGACAGCATAATAAGCACTTCAAACTACAGCTGACCAAATCAAAATCAATTACAAACAGATAAGTGACTTTCTAAGTCGATCTCTCTCTTTTGTATGTTGTAGTGCTGTATTATACTATAATCTGGTAGTGTTTTTGGTAGTGTTTGCTTTGCTTTGACTTTTTTGGGGTTAATTATTGTGATCTTCTGATTGCAACAAATAAATACTGGGAGATACCTCTAAGAGACTGATAGCCTTTCATGCCGTTCAGTCTTAAAATCAAAATCAAAAAGGCAAAATCACCGGTTTTGTCATGACTTTAGACATTACGCTAGAGAATCATTCAAATACTAGCTCTAAAGTGACGTTTGTGAAGTAGCAACGGTTTCTGCTGTTCTGACATCAGCTGCAGATGTGAATAAATGGCTGAAGAAAATAGTTCCTCATACAAAAGGACTTTTAGACTCTCTGTGTTTGATTTTCTTTTTTTATTCACGAATATGCCATCAAACTGTTGAAATGCAATATCACACTCGTAGCAGTGTGATACGGCTGTATATCGTCACTGATGGGACGCATATATTTTATGTTTACAAAACTAATATGAAACATTTATTTTCTGTTTATATAAAATAATTTTTGTGAATTAAATTTGATGCAGACAGTGGGATGTGCCATCTTTCACCCATATATTAAACTACTGTACCAGTAATGCATATATTACATGAAAATCCCTGCCTGTGCAATTTGACTGTCATTCTGAAACTGCGTTCCTCTGACTTATTACAATAAACACACTCTACAGCATCATATTCACCACTCTCTTGCCCTGAAGTGTCACCTGCTGATACACGGCTTGTAGTTGGGTTTAATAAAACAAGGGCACGTGACTTTAAATTGTTTTACATCTAAACTGACAAGAGATGGCTGGGCAGCAGCTGTTTTGCACCATTCACCATCCGCTCCTCACATCTGCTTCAGGATTGTTTCCACCAGTGTGCAGCATAACCCCCTCTGCCCTGTAATTGGCAATTGCACATCTTTTTCCTGGCTCAAGTAACGGCAATCACAGCAAGGGCCGCAGCTCAGCAGTTGCTGGAAGTCAGATGTTCTGTTTGCGATGTGAATAAGCATCCCTGAGGTGATTTGTAACAAAGAGAAAGACGCTTTCATCAGGGAAATTTCTTAATTAGGACAAACAGGACTGTGATTGCCACCTGACTGCACTCCAGTTCATTGGTTGGGGTGTGTTGTCACAGTCTTTTTAACTGCGCTCTGCTTAGCACTTTATAACGTGCAGATGTCTGGATGTGGTGACATGATTTTCCTCATGCCGCAGTAGACGAAGGCATGAATATGAGAGGACTGTTTGTCAAGGAAAGTACAAGTCACCAGTGCTACAAATTTACTGCTCTGTTCAGTGCTTTGATTTATTGCGTATGGTCTCAAACACATACCGATAGCTTATAACATTTCTTTGCAGTTCTCTACCATAGGATAGCCTGGGGGAAGTTCCCGCAATGTATGCTTTTTAAATCAGAGTTGATAAATATATAGCTCTAATTACAGTCATTATATATTTTTATACAAAATAAAATGTGTAATGATAGCTTAAATATGTGTATATAAATATTAAAATAAAATAAATGTGGGTTGTGCAATATAAACTAAACATATTTAAATAGTATATTAAAAATACAATGTTATTTTTTTATTTTATTCTTTTGTCACATTGATGTTTTAATATTGGACTTATAGGTCTATTGATTTTCACTATTTTTAAAATATTATGAAAACTTATCAAAATATTTACATAGTATATTTAGTGTAATAAATATATAACATGTTGGGAATATTATTTTAAATAAAGTAAATATACAGTATAATGCATGTGAAATAATATACAATAGCCAACATTTGAAGTGGATCAAAAACTTTCATCAAAGTTGTCCAAAAACGATCTACTTTTTCCTTTTGTGTATACACTGTAAAACCCCAAAAGTTAAGGTAACTCAAACTTTTTGAGGAAACCAATTGCATTTGATTAAGTTGACTGTTGGGTTGTACAGTGTAGGTCTCAAACTCAATTCCTGCAGGGCTGCAGCTCTGTACAGTTTTGCTCCAACCCTAATCAAACTCTGCTGATCCAACTAATCAAGGTGTTCAAGATTTCTAGACACTAGTGCTGCCCTCTAGGAATTGAGTTTGAGAGCTCATTCATAAAAATACCATAACATGTTTGCAGATAATTAAGAAACATGCTACAGTAAGTGAACATCATTGTTTATCTAAAAAAAAAACAATGCTAACCCCCTTTGAAATGGTGCTTTTAGGATGTCTGCCTTTATGTAGTCTTTATAACCTGCCTACTGCCAGATTAACCAATTCTCAGGGCGTACTCATACTATGTACAGTTGTCTTAAACCGGGCCGATGCACATTTGTCCCCCCTCCCATCTCCTCCGGTGGCCAGCACTTACATTACATTTGGGCCTGGGTACGCTTACGTCATCGATGATGCGTTGTTTAATAAGTGCTTTTTTGCTCAGCACAGTTGAAATTTCTTTAGTTATATTGTTTTAGTCGTTTGGTATGCGGTGACACGCAGTCAAATATTGCGCCGAAGGGATCAGCCACTTTTGACGCTCATAAACAACCATAAAGTTATCGTGCTGCAGGAATTATGAGGTTTGCTAAAGGTTCAGCTGTCATGCAGTGAGGGGTTTGCGTCTTTAATAAACTACGACAGTTTGCATTCATTAAACAGTAAGAGGGATTAATAAATCCATTGAAACAATCCCGTAAAAGTCACATCTCGCTTTCAGTTTCTGGCTCAGGCACGCTTTACACTCACACTACAAGTGTACCTTGTCAAAGCCCAAGTAAACCGCGCTCTGGAACACCTCTTCCAACCATACCAGGGCCAGCCAAGTGAACCGTGCCTGATGCGATTCAGAGCACTCACACTTCTCAAACGATCCGGGAAATGGGCCTGGGCATGGTTCAGATAGCATAGTGTGAGTTTGCCCTCACAGACAATTGCACATGTGATGTCATTGTAAAGGGTAGAGTTAGGGACGGTGTTGTGTTAGGCATAGCTGTTCCAGAAAGTGTATGTCTGAAAGTGCATGCATGTCTACAAAGCTATATATATTTGTTAAAATTCAGTAACGTATCAAGGTCACACTATCAAGTGAAATTTAAGATCTCTCATGAGTAAAAGATATGACCTTTTAGGACTTTTTATAACCTTAAATTTAAAAAATCAAATGTAATACTTTTTAAAGACCCGTGGGAGCTCTGGCAAACATGGCTGACTGTGATGGAGATTCCCTTTTTTTATACATCATTCTTGTTCTGTCAAGTCATGCTCATTTATTTTTGGCACTTTTTTGACTCTGTTTTTTACTCTGCCCAGTTTTACCTTTTTTTCCCTCCTTGAATTCCCCTTGGCCAGCCACTTACTATCTTCGACACCGCCTGTGTAGGACAGGGTCAGAGCTTGTCTGTCCTCCTCTGCATTATCTATCTCCTGATCGAAGTCCGCCTGTTTGACTTCTCTCGCTTGCCTGCTGTTTTGGACACTGGTTGCCCACTTAGCCTCTGGCTTTCTCCTGGCCATTGTTTTCTTCAGTCGCTCGTCTTTCTTTTGAACATTTAAATAAAGTCCAAAATCAAACAAAAAGTGCTCAGGGGTAGCTCAACCCTTCTGTTCTTTTAGGGATGTTTTCGTCCACTCTGGGGTGAGTTTGAGTCTTAATTTGGCCTTGACGTTTTCTGTGTTTCATCTAGCAGAATTATACAAATCTTTTTTGACATATATTTTTGGGAAATGGCTTTGAAAAT